TCTTCGATTTCGAAAAAACTAAAGCGTTTCAGGACCTTTGAATGGTATTTTCGAAAACAACTCACTATAGTGGTTATTTGGGCAAAATATGAAGAAATGCAAAATTTCGCGACTGTCATCTCATTCTCGATATTTACAGGAATTGGCTCTTAAGAATCTGGGATATGATAGATGATTGATATATAAACAACCTCGCCAAGAAATAGGTTTCTGCAGTGTTTCATTCGCACCTTACTCGGAAAAGTGTTTCACCCGGCAAATATATAAAGCTTTGTAGATGCCATGTTGGAGGCACAAATATGGCGGTCGTAAAGTACTGAAACATCTGCCGTTGAAATCTACAGTTGAAACGAAAAGTTATTACCCTAGAGCTCTGACACGCTGAAATTAACACTTCTTCAGGTGCAATAATTGTTCTCATCTTTTGACCCACGCATCAGCCTTCTCGGGCCACCATTTAATGTATCGCATCGTAAATTCTTGGAAATTCAAACGTGCTTTATTACAAAACGAAGATCCCTGTCGAGCTAAAACGCTATAAAACGTCAAGTTCTTAAAGGATCTTGCGTCGATAAAACAAAACCTCCGAAGGAAAGGTAATTTTTAATTTTGGAATAATATGACTATGTCACATGAAAACCAAGAATTGTCGACTTCGTGGGTGTGGTTGCATTAATACAGCTGTTGTATATAAAATGATTAAGACGAAATCCGATAGAAAATCGAGCAATTTCAGTTCTTAGTGGACAAAAATTTGGTATCAGAATAATTTTAAGTATTTTACAGTCCCTTTTACATTTTCTTAAAGCTAAAGATATAAATAGTTGCCTGAAATAACACCGAAAACAATTTCCCCTGGGAACGAGGGAAAACAAATTTCAAAGTTCTGAGAAATTGTGCAAACACAGGTAAAATTTCATCATCAGTTTCATTTCACCAGTACTTTCAAGTGGTTCATGCGAAGCTCAACATTTGTTTTCGACGTTTGGTGTTGCTAGAAATGATTTTTTTTGACAGCATATTTAAAACAGTCGTAGTGAAGTTTGCAATACGATGTAAATAATCTTGGTACAAAGTTTTTGCCCAATTGTTACTCGAACTTCTGGTGAATTCCGTCTTAAGAGCCATTGCCAGTAAATATGGAGAATCCGACGACAGGTCGGAAAATTCGGATTTTCTTATATTGCGTCAAAAAGACCCTTTTGGTGAACTATTTTCAGAAATATGCTTTCAAAGTTCCAGCGAGTTCACATTTTT